AGGGAGGGGAGAGGGGTAAACATGGCCCTTGGGGCCTGTGTGTATGTGTGTGTATTGGGGTTTAGCTGGGTGGGGGGGGGGGAGGAGGGGGTTTAGAGGGAAAGGATAAGAGATGGCGTCAGCCATTTTTTGTCACCAGGATAGCGAATGAGTGCCGTACTAGGCAATCTTAGGTCGTACTGACGCTTTGCGTGTGCTGCCTACTGCCTCTGTTGTTGTTGTTGTGGTGGTCGTACAGGTTCCATCGCCTCAACTTCAGTTTGGCGATGGTGGGTACATCTGCAGGCAATCTGGAGATCTTCAACTGCAGCACCGGTGAGGGGCGTCGGAAGTGTATCTGTGTATGTATGTATGTATGTATGTATGTATGTATGTATGTATGTATGTATGTATGTATGTATGTATGTATGTATGTATGTATGTATGTATGTATGTGTGGCATGTGTTTTTGCATGTACACCCCTACTCCTGGGCCCCCATTTCCCCCCTCCTCCACACACTCAACCCCCTTCCTGGGTCGTTTTGCCCCCTTTTTCCCCTTCCATCCCCACTTCCCCCTCATACACGTTTTTGAATTTAAAATACACAAGCGCACACATACATACATGCATACATACATACATACATACATACATACATACATACATACATACATACATACATACATACATACATACATACATACATACACTCAGGTTAGGCGCTACTGGTAAGTCACGGACCATTGCCTCCGGGAGATCCCGGGATCGAGACCTGCCAGGGTCGAAAATCCTTCCGATGGTGGAAGGTTAAGTGTCCCTAGTCGATGGACGGTGGATAAAGCAGACCTGCGAGCTGACCAGGAATGGAGTTGAGCCGCCGATGATCCGGCAGATTCCGTTGGATGCTGGTGGTGGGCGCGGAACCTGAGCGATCCACTGAGAAGTTGACTAGGGTGACTGGATGAGGGTGCCCCGAAATACCGGGGAAGGCAGGGTTTCGCAGGGTAGCTGCCACGGGCGAAGATATGCCCCCCTGTCCCACATATTATACACACTCGCACATGCACACACAGACCGGCACACATGCCTCCGGGCCTTGCAGGCATGCTCCACAGCAAGTACCAAATCACGCCAGCGGGCTCGGGGCTACAGATAACTGGTGCGTATGTCTGTCTGTCGGTAATTGTGTAATTGTGTGACTATGCGTTGTGTTGGGGTGGAAAAGGGAAGGGGGTTACGGACGGCTCTGTTAGGCTGAGCTGCCACACGGTTTTTCAGATTGGGTATTACAGTACGGTACGGCAGGACGAGCAAAACCCAGACGTGGCACGCCGTGCCGAACGTGTGAATGAGTTGTTTCCGCCCGTACCGCCTCCATGGACATACATACATACATACATACATACATACATACATACATACATACATACATACATACATACATACATACATACGTACATACCGCCCCCCGCACATCCACACACAAAGTTCCTCCCCTCCCGCCCCTCTCCCCGTCTCTGTGTATTGCCGTACGGCAGCTCTGGATAGCAGCAATCATCACGTATTTGTTGGGGACTCTGCGGGGTCTCTCCACTGGTATGCGTGCGAGCTCCGTGGCCGCCAGCTGTCGCGCCTCAAACCCGTGGGGAGGCTGCGGTTGGCGGCGGGGGCGGGGGCGGGGGCGGGGGCAGTAGCTGCAAGTGGAGGAGGAGGTGGTAGCGGAGCAGCAGGGCATGTAGCGGCGGTGACAGCGCTGCAGTACGTGCCGTTTTGCCGTACAACCGACACGCCGGTGCTTATGGCGGCGTTGCAGGATGGCTCTCTTTGTATTGTACGAGCTAACGAGGTGTGGTGTACGGCATCAAGGGTTGTGATTTGCATGTGGTTTGTGGTGGGCGGGTGCTTGGGGGGGAAGGGGGAGGGGGGAAGAGCATAAGGGGCAAGGAGGAGGCACTAGACATTTCTGACCAGTGGGTTATGAAGCCGTTAGGGTTGGTTAAGTGGTTGTGTTTTAGTTGTTCACGGGATAATTTAGGGTTGGCATCTTTTTCCTGCCTCTATCTGTGTGTGCCAGTGGGTCTCTTGTGTTTTGGCGGGGACCGGTGCGGCAAGAGGGGGGAAAGGGGGTTCGGCATTCATCTCAGCATAATGAACAACACACGTGTATGTGCCCCTCCTCCCCTCCTCCCCTCCTCCCCTCCTCCCCTGCCCCCTCCTCCCACACCCCCGGGGGATGCACTGCCACGGAACTCCGTCTGGCGGCCAAAGGTACGACACCTCGCGGATCTGTACCTGCGCCGGATCGTCTCGCCGCCGGCAGCGGCAGAGACGGCGGCGGCCGCCGTCACCGCATCCGGCACGTCGTTCCGTACAGCCCGCTCGTCGTCGTCCAGCATCGCCACAGCGGCGGCGGCGGTGGCGGCGCCGCTTCTTCGCTTCTGTCCCGCGGTGTGCCCGCTATCCGTCATCCAGGACGTGCCGCTGATAACGTACGGCTCCGACGATACGGCAGTGTACATCGTGGATGTGACGTCGCGGGGCTTCGGCGGCCCAGCGGGCCCCGGCCGAAGCCGTGGCGGCTGCAGCACGTCGACTTCGGAGCGGCCCATGACGGTTACGGTACTGAAGGTACGGTGCCGTACGGTACGGCAGATGGCAGGGGCCTGCAGGAAATGCCGCTTAGAGGTTCGCGAGGGAGGGTCCTCCGGGCCCGGGGGGGGAAGAGAGGGGGAGCAGGTGGTCGTGCTTGGGGGATTGGGGTTGTGGGTCCACCCCTCCCCCCCTCCAACACACACACACACACGTGTGTGTGTGTGTGTGTGTGTGTGTGTTGCGACACACGTGTGTGTTGCGACACACGTGTGTGTTGCGACTTGATAACGCCGTTGCCCCGCCCATCACCGTACGACATCGTCACCACCTCACCATCTGAAAGGCGCATCGTGCGGCGGTTACGGCGGTTGCCTGGACGTACGACGAGGCGCTGCTGGCTTCGGCGGATGCGGAGGGCCTCGTGGTGCTGTGGCGGCGATGCCGGCTGTTCTGACGCCTAAACATGTGAAGTGGAATGAAGTTGAATAGAGTGTTGTAAGTAACTATAAAAGTTGAGAGTCCATTCCTTTTTCCGTCAGGTGATGAGATAACGCGGCCGACGCAGATTTTTGGGAGCTGTTACCATTCTGGTGCTGAACTACTAGCCAGCTAAGTCCTTGGGTCGAAGCCTGCTACCGACGCAAATATTTAATGTTTACGGCAGTAACAAATAAGCGGTTTTATATCTTCTGCTTTAGGTTTGTTAATTTTTTGGTATTATCCAGAACTGTGTTGTATCTTCTTTGTCGGTGTTGCTTTGGCTCCTCGTCCGTCCGCGCGACTTGTTTGTTCAGCTCTTTGCGAATAGTTGCTTCATCTTCGCGGGGGTTACTTTGCGGGATTGCTTTCGTTCCTTTGATGTGGAAGCGAAGTAATTTTGAATTGTTTTGGATGGCAGCGCATGCATAATGGAATGAGTAGTTCGCGGTCCGGAAGCCGCGTCCGCAGGCCACATGCCACATGTCTGGTCTGGGTTGACACTACTGCAATTAGCGGTTTAAGGTCCTGGGTTCGATTCCTGGGGAGACCCCCGAATTAGTCGGGAGCGCGAGATTATGGCTAGCTGCTGAGATGTGGAGTTGAGGTCACAGTTGATGGACCAGATTCGCACGCTGGATTGGTGGCGATTGCCGAACCCTCTGTCTCTTCGGATGTTCGGGTGAATGGATGAGGAGGGGTCCCTGAAGGCTGGATCCGCCGCCTTGGACTTGCAGTTCGTATGGCGAAGTACAGTGTGGTAGTGGTGGATGGTGCTATAAGGCGATAAATGATCTAGAACTGACAGCGGCCCAGAAGCCTCCCACTCTGTAACATTACATTACATTACATTACATTACATGCCATGTACAGAGGAGGAGCGGAGCTTCCACACGGCTGCGGTGCTCGAGGATGGCCCCATGGCCCCGTCTGAAAGACATCAACATGTGTCGTACGTCTGTTCTGTGCATATCGAATGGTCCACACCGTGAGGGGTGGTAAAACCGTAACCCGGCTGTCGCGCGCGGGTGGGGCCTGACACCGTTATCCGTCGCGCAGCGGTGTCGCGATTTATTACGATTAGGGTTGGCAAAAATACTATATTGATTTTCCCAAATAGTATAGTATAGTATGAAATAGTACTATATATAGTAATATAGTACTATGATACTATTACTATGCAGGTACAAGCTCCCTGTAGAAGGGGGGTGTACGACCAACCGTTGTACCTGAAAATTACACCGTTGGAAAGGTCTTCTTTTGTTCTTTCTAAATATTTACTTAGACATGAGAAAGCAGATCGCTGTGGTCATCCAGATCACTTTTTGTTAGTTCGGTGCCCGGTAGGTGGACCCCAAACCCCATGTCTCAAGGCGTGTTATGGCACATAAAGACATAATCACAGATAGAAGACCCAGCGTTGACAAGACAACACAAGGACGCCATACTCGGGTCTGGCCATCAATGCCGCGCCGGCGCTTGGAGAGGGCCTGCTGATCCGCCGTGCTGGGGCCCGCCGCAGCAGAGCTGGTTCCACTCTGTTGCTGTTGCTGGCTGAGTGACGCTGCACGCTGTTTGATAGCCTTGCAAGCACCTTGCTTGATGTGGTGCGCGTTGGTAAAGGATGGGTTCACTGCGCTGAGCGGCTCATCGCAGAACAGGCAGACTAGCTTTGGTACACCACCCCACCACTCCACATCGAAGTTGTCCCAATGACTACCCGTCTTGGCGTTCTTCTTCTGGTTACGAAGCTTGTTAAAAAGCTCGTTCCGAGAACGGAGAACTTCAGAGGGGACGTCTGGACCAGGATGCAAGCCTCTGATCGCCTTCTCATTCTTTATACTGGATTCCTTTGACATTATTCATCAATAACTACGTAGCACAGCTCGAAGACGCGGCTATAGCCCTTCAAAATACAGCTTGACTGCAGATCTCGACTTGGTCCAACTAGTACTGGACACTATCCAACCCCAAATCTAGTACTATATAGTACTATTTTTACTATACTATTTTACTATGTACGAACGCGGTACGAGCGTCGTAAACTAGTACCAGTTTAGAGCCCTGCATAGTAAATAGTACTATACATAGTACTATTATAGTATAGTACTCTTTTCTAGTATAGTACCCGTGCCAACCCTAATTACGATAGGGCAGATGGAGCGATGGAGGTTGGGTGTGAGGTGGCAGGTTAGGCGACAGGTTAGCCGTGTGCTGTACGACTCTCCCTCCCCCGTTTTTTATCCCCTAAACACACACGCACACAGTGTTTCATTTGGTTCGTCTGCGGAGGCGAGGGGGAAAATGTAATAATGCCTGGGGGGAAAGGAAACGAACTTTTCTAGCCTCGTGTCTGCTGGTTGTTGGCGATTGCGAATGCGCGAATGCGCCCAGGAGGTGTAAGTATGTGCGTTGTACGTGCCGTACACTGCAGAATCTGAAGCAAGAAGCAGCAAGAAAAAGCAGCGGAGATCTTATCTGACCTGACAGTTGAAGACGACCTCGGAGACCTGTCCGACAGCGACACGTACATATGCGTGTAATACCTTGAACCCCAAATAAATGTAAATATATTAAATATTTACTTTACAGGAATGTGGAAGAGACTGAACAAGGCCCTTACTGCTTTTTACAATTATTATTTGTGCAAATTCTTAAAATCCGTGTTGCGGGAGGAGGGGAAAAAGCAGAGCATGGATTTCTGTCGCTTATTTCCCCGCAGATAGAGGGAGTTGAGCACTTGCGTGCACCGGCTTTCGCGCGCGTGCGCTGTGCTCGCAGATCCGCGCACCTGTATAGACAATGCCGACCGGCCGCGAAAGGCCGCCAAAAATAAAACAAAAAACCTGAGATATTTGCTTGTAAAGAGCCTTTTTAATAACCCCATAGCGCATCCCACCTCCTCTCGGCCATCCTGTTCCAAAATTCAAATCTGCAGATGTCTTTTTCAAATTTTGTATCCTTGCTCAGCGTTGAACACCCTACCCCTGCCGTCCTACTACTGCCCAGGGCATGCAACGCGTCGCAAGAACACATCTGCAACTAATCATCGTCCCTTATGCCTTCCCTCGTATCGCTTCGCCTTTTGCCTACTACTCCATGCTTGGCCGCCTAAACGCCTCACTGCGCCTACCTTCATTTTTCAACTCTCCACGTATCTTTCACATTTCGAACCCGACGTGCATCCTATAATCTGTAACCGAAAGCTATTCCGAACGTGAAACCATTCCGGAAAAATGTCCTTGCTTTATGCTATGAACCTATGAACCTAAATATCAAAACCAATTACCATGGATGGATTCATCTCATTAAACATCCCCTAACAAGGGTTGGGGACGAGTTACATCGCCCCCCACTATTGAAATTATCACCATCATCATCATCACGATCATCATCACCATCATGAAAAACGTACGTGCTGTACGGACCAGTTGTACCATTATCATCTGCCCTCTGTGTCTCCCGCCCCAGTCGGAGGATATTGCAGCTCCGGATATTTTCAGCCCTCCGCGCCCTCGCAAGGGGATATGAAATGAAGGGGATTTATAGATTTGGCCCCATCTCACCCTTTCGGAAAACACGCCAGAGAGCTCAGGGGTCTGTATGTATGTATGTGTGTCCAGGTGGGGTAGGGGGTAAGAAAGGAGACCATTTGCAATCCCCCGTACGGTCGACCCATGCGCATGTATGGGTGCGTTTGTTGGTTTGTAGTGTCGACCTTCAAAATGAATCTTGGTCCTTAGCCCACTCCCCTGTGCCAGTTAGTAACGGGAGCCGACCAACCCCGAATTCAAAAAACCACAAGGCGCTTGCGATGACAGCAGCCTCCCGCTCTCGTGGCGCGACCTGTATGGGCGTATGTATGTATGTATGTACGTACGTACAGGCATAGATACAAGTATGCGTACAAACCGTACAATCCTTCTCCATCGCTGTCCCTGGGAAGCGGAGGTGTGTCAACGTCGGAGAGGTCGTTGATGACAAACTGCCGCCAGCAGCCGCCCACCCGCTACCTCACCACATTTCTCCTCGGCCAGCCTCACGCTCTCTGGGGCGTCTTTCCCCTAAAATTGAAAACCGACAAAATCCGCCTTAACGACCATCTCGACACCATACACCCACAAATGCAACCAAAACTAAAAACTGAAAACCGCGACAACCACCCGGATGCAGGTCAGCACTCTCCGCCGCCACCTGCCGCTGCAGCCGGATGCCGATGCCGCTTTTGCCCTGCCCACACTACCCCCCCGGAGGGTGCGGCCTAAATCAAATCACACACGACATACATACACACATACACACATACACACCGAACGTTACTTCCCCCTGCTAACCCTAACCTCGCACACGAGGGCAGGTGCATGCGAGATGACGCGGTTTTCAGACCCCTCGCCGGTATGCTAGTGCGCAATGGCGCAGCTCCGTAAAGGCCTCTTCCTGAAGCCCATGACATACACATACAGACGTGCAGACGTGCGTAATTATGTTTGTATGTCTTTATGTACGTATGTATGTATGTATGTATGTGCCCACATACATAGCCTTGCCATGACCGATCCCTCCACACGTCGCAGATCGTACTCAAACACATACGTGCACACATAACATTGCGCACATAACATTGCGCATAAACGTATGCCCGCAGGAAAAACAACACGCACGCGCACATACAGGGTTAAATTAGACGCGACAAAGCGCAAGACCGTATGCAGTCGTACTGGTGTGTACCGCAGACATGTATCACGCATATCGCGCATGCAAGAAGGAAGAAATTGTTGACAGACATGAAGTATAAAGAGTCGCAACAATCGTATACCCCTGAGGAAATGGAGGGCGGCATGATGCCTGGCAGTTGGGACGAGGAGCTTACGGCAGTTGGCAATTGGTAGTTGGAAGGGCGTGTGAAGGGATTTTGTGTTTTTGTGCGCTCTACGCACACATCCATCCCTGGGTGGGAAAAGGTAGGCCTCTTCCCACCCACAGCACACGGAAACTCCAGCATTGCTGCTGCCGTACACGTACGGCCGTACACTTCTTGTACGTGCACGCACGTTTCTCGTACACTGTCCAACGCAGCACACACGCACCATCCGGCCATCCATAACGTTGGAAGTAAAAAGATACGGAAGAAAAGCGATGCACGATACAAACACTACTGCTGCGGTACATATATCGCCTTGAAGTGCCTTCCGCAGTGCTGTACAGCAGAGAGGTTGCACGCACGGCACCATGCGACCGCACCGCTGCCACCGCTGCTACTGCTGTTGCTGCAGCTTCTGCTGCTGCTGCTGTTACCGCTGCTGCAGCTCTGAATGATTAGCAGAGAGAACGGCTTTGCTACACCAGCACCAGCACCAGCACCAGCACCAGCACCAGCACCAGCACCAGCACCAGCACCAGCACCAGCACCAGCACCAGCACCAGCACCAGCACCAGCACTGGACGTCAGGTTCTCCTCCACTGGCATTCCACAGACAAGACAAGACGTCCCTCCCTCCCTCCCTCCCCCCTTCCCCACCTTTCCCCCCTCCCTGCCCCCCTCCCTCCCTGCCCCCCTCCCTCCCTCCCTCCCCCCCTCCCTCCCTCCCTCCCTCCCTCCCTCCCTCCCTCCCCCCCTCCAGGTGCGAGGTGCCATTCCGTCCCGCCATTTTGACGCGACTTGTGGCCGCCTGGCTGCCTGCCTAGCCCGCAATCAGACCTGGGCCATACGAGCCCTCAGTGCCGGAAAAGTCTCCTCTCCATTTGCGTCTTCCCTCCCCATCCCACCTCAACCCGCGCCCAGGGTTTTCGCCGTACCACCGGCATAAAGCAAATGAAGCGCGTGTTACGTAGCACTCAGCGCTTGCTGTGAAGAAAGAATCCCGAAAAAAATTCCGGTGCCATAACGGGCCATTAAGGCGCGACCAGTGCACACCTGCCAGATGTCAGCTACGAACCCACCCATCCACCCACCCACCCACCCACCCCATTCACGCGTT